CTTTCTAGTTTCAAGATGACATGACTAAGAAAACAGCTGATATAAAAAAAAAGAAAGAAATATACTAGAGTTAGCAAGTATATGTATACTCTAGAGGAATGACAGTAAAACATACATATTATCTACCTACTATGCATAGACTTGTTAAAGACAAACATTAGCTTCAGATTACCATTGTATACATGAAAGGAAAAGCAGCTGTCTTTCAGTCCATGTGTACTGTTGTATGTTTAACACGGTTCAACAGTCATGCTGGAAATCCACCGTGTGAACAGCACTTGCAGTCTCTGTATTTTGTATTCTGGTGTGGGACAGTCCCCACTGTCAGAATACAACAACACAGAAGGGGAGATCCATGCATCACACATCATTGGCCCCCTTGGCTGAAAAAAAAAATGATGATTTTGTATATCCTGGTTAAGGACATTATAGTGGCCAGGAATTGATATCAATGATATTGGTCAGTTGGCCGCCTTATATATGACTAAACTACATAATTCTTGGCTACATAATACCATACACTTAAATACATGTATTCCATTCCTATAAAGTAATTTTATAGCCCTATGTACAGCACCATATCAAATGTAAGCCATAGTACAGACAACTCACTAACATTATAGATGGCTTTTTAGGAGGTTGTCTGTCTTCCTTGCCTCAAGCTGTGCTTAGTGCATCCAAAATACCCCTTCCCCACAACTATTGCTTTTAAGATTGAACCCAGTGATCAGCAGTCCTCCTATGTGCACATATGCTTGGCTATTTTGATCGTGTCCTATTCAGATTCTTTTCAATGCAATCAGTAAATGTGATCAGCAAAGCACGGTGCAGGCATAGCTTAGACAGCTTCTTATGTGGCTGTCTACTCCAGCTCCAATACATAAAAAACATTGGTACTCACTGGGGAATTACCTAAAGTCCATGCAAACACCTTAGTTGTGTCAATACTGCATCACCGATGAAGCGCACACTTTTAAAAGACAACAATGTACAGTAGCTCTGAAATTTTACACCACTCTCTAGGCTGAAGTATAGTTTAACACTGTTAAATGGAATTGCTAGAAATAATCTTTGTGAACTTGATATGTAATACCTGTAGACATTCACTCTGTTCTTTTTAATATTTTTTTTGATAATCTGATATAGCAAGATATAATTTTGCAAAGATAGTGGTGGTAAATATAGTAACAAAAAGTGAGTTGTCTATTTTTAAACTGCCACTGGGTGACTGTCACACAATGTGGTTAAGAAAGGTTCTCTTAATAGTGCGAAGAGGCCAAGATGAAAATAAAAATTTTCTGTCATTAGAATTTTGAAAGTACAATGGAGATTCTGAGTCATATACTGTTCATTTGAATATGGTGAAATCCCTGAAATAGTGCAAGTTTTGCCACCAAAAATGTGCATGCTACACAATTAAATGCGGTCTTCCTGTTCCGCTTCAAGTGATGTCTACTAAATTTACAAAAAAAAAAAAAATCTCTAAATCAGGATTAAGACCTTCTAGAATAACACTGAGCTCTCACTAGCTGGTAAAATCTTTCATTTTATAAACACTATTTATGACTGATCAACTGATTTTCTCTGTTTTGTGTGGAGTTTGATATAGTAAGTCTATTCAAGTATTGCAGTACAGTGTAGCTGCCCATCCATGTGTCTTGCCTGTGCTGTTTCCAGGTTCTGGCAACCAATAACCTAGCACTGCTGATGTCATCACTTTGGTATGTTTTCGGAATCCTGAGAGGACCATGCCTCTGGACATTCAATAGGATGTGTCCATGTCATGCAAGTAGTGATATGGACACCCAAAATCAGACCCCTTGTCCTGAGAAGACCATGGACTGGTGTGCCATGGATTTAAGGGAGTGAAAGGGGTACATGAAAAAAGGGGTTAAAAAATATGCCAGCAATTAGTTAGAGGTGGATGGTGGGTGTGTGGGAGGCAGCCTGGCTGGCTTTAAACTGCATCTTTTTCTGATTATAGATATAAAGACCTTCCTAGGTAAAAGGACCATTATAAAATAATTAAGAAAGCTAGCTAATTGCATTTCAGCAGACTGATGAGCTTACACAAAGAACATCCACTGATATTGTACTGCCTTCTTCAAACCACATTTTCTAGCTGGTCTAATAATTTTGACTTCAACTGTAATAGAACAGTAATAATTATATTCAAACATGATGGTCAATTTTATCTGATACACACAAGAAAAATGCAATAAAAGTATTTCCCTTTAAATTCTAAGGAACTTGAAAAGTCCTACATGCTGCATCTTTCGTGCCTTGTTTAAAAAGAGCGCCAAACATATGAGCTTTTTCAGTCATCTATCCATGTTTCATAGGTTCATGGCAACCAGAAAACACATCAAAAACGTATACGCCTTTTTACAATAGAGACATTTTTTACTCCTTCTCTTGGAACTTTAGTAAATAATGTTAACTGAAACATCAAGTCATTGCTTCAAATACAATATGGTATCTTATTTTATCTAAAAAATACAGAAAACATTCTCCAACTGTGAAATATATTTTTGTGTATGGCTAATGTATTTCTTCTTACTACTAACACTATAAGCCTATTTTTCTTGTATATGTGAAGCCACAGAGACATTCATATAGATCAGGCATCACTAAATGGTGGACCGGGGTCCGGATGCGGACAGAGTCACTGTACCCTCCAGACCCATACACTCCTGTCATTTAAGAGCCTTTTCTTCCCCCAGCTGTCTCGCGGCCATCCTCAAAGAGCTGACAGCAAGAGGCAGGACAGTTCTGGATGGAGGGTGGGAGCTGCCCGAGGTTAACAAACAGGTGATTGGTTGCTAGGATGAAGGGCAGTCCTAGCAATCAATCACTGTCTGTGTAAGGTAGGGCAGTGGGGGCGAAGCTAAAGGGGCTAAGGATGTTAGTGTGAAAGGGGGGCTGAGGACAGTAATGTGGGGGGCTAAGGACTGTGATGTATGAAGCCTGAGGACATTAAAGTGGGAGGGGCTGAGAACTGTAATGTGGGGGCTAAGGACAGTAAAGTGAGGGGGCTGAGGACAGTAACATGGAGGGGGGCTGAGGATAATAACACGGGGAGGGGCTGAAGACAGTAATGTGGGGGCTGAGGACAGTAATGTAGGGGCCAAGGACTGTGATGTATGAAGCCTGAGGACATTAAAGTGGGAGGGGCTGAAAACTGTAATGTGGGGGCTAAGGACAGTAAAGTGAGGGGGCTGAGGACAGTAACATGGAGGGGGCTGAGGATAATAACACGGGGAGGGGCTGAAGACAGTAATGTGGGGGCTGAGGACAGTAATGTGGGGGGCCAAGGACTGTGATGTATGAAGCCTGAGGACATTAAAGTGGGAGGGGCTGAAAACTGTAATGTGGGGGCTAAGGACAGTAAAGTGAGGGGGCTGAGGACAGTAACATGGAGGGGGGCTGAGGATAATAACACGGGGAGGGGCTGAAGACAGTAATGTGGGGGCTGAGGACAGTAATGTGGGGGGCTAAGGACTGTGATGTATGAAGGCTGAGAACATTCAAGTGGGAGGGGCTGAGAACTGTAATGTGGGGGCTAAGGACAGTAAAGTGAGGGGGCTGAGGACAGTAACATGGAGGGGGCTGGCTGGGGAGGGGCTGAAGACAGTAATGTGGGGGGGCTGAGGACAGTAATGTGGGGGGCTAAGGACTGTAATGTATGAAGGCTGAGAACATTAAAGTGGGAGGGGCTGAGAACTGTAATGTGGGGGCTAAGGACAGTAACATGGAGGGGGATGGCTGAGGACAATAACATGGGGAGGGGCTGAAGACAGTAATGTGGGGGCTGAGGACAGTAACTGGGGGGGGTCTGAGGACAGTAATGTGGGGGGATGATGTAAAAAGGGGAGCAGAGGACAGTACTTTTCAGGGGGTTGATGTCAAGGAAGTGTGAGAACACTACTGTGAAAGGGGTGGAGGGGGGTGATGTAAAGGGGGAGCTGAGGACACTCATCAAGAGGGATCTTGCTGTGAATGAGGAGGGGACTGTGATGTACAGTGGGGATTGAGGACACTGATGTGAGAACAGGTTCAGATCTGTACATGTGCATTTTGGCTATAAACCTGAAGAAGTCCCCAACCATTTTTTTTTTTCAAAATCGCACTGCAGCAACATGTGGTTTTAGCGCACACGAAAATGCACCACAGGGGCCTACATGAGATTCAGACCTCTGATTCATGTAAATCTTACTGCCTGGACCTTGGTGAATTTTAATTCAATAGCCCCAATATAGATACTAATTCTTAGTTTGCCCTTCAAACTTTGAATGGTTATACAGCATCAGCAACAACAAAGCGAAATGTAATTTAATACTTTATAGATCAAATGTCAGATGATTGATGAAGGCTGAACTAAAAAGAAAAAAACACACTTTTCTCCACAATTAGGTTAACTTTAAATCTACACACAAAACCACTGTCAAGTATTCTATTTCAAAACAATAGTAGAAAGTGAGCACATTGCAGCATTACGTGTCAAGATCCGGATGTGATCATCACTGAAAGACTGTGAGCATTAGTGGAGGCATGTGGGAATTGTCTTACCATCACAAGTGTCCCAGTGGGAACAGTCTAATCACATTAGCAAAACGGAATTGCATTAACATCCATAGATAGGTTGGAATGTCATGGGCAAAATCTGTGCCGTCTTGGCGAAAAACAGCAAACTGAGATTATTTCAGTTCTGTGATGCTTTTCATTAATCAAAAGGAGAGGATATGTACTATGCAAAAGGTTATCAGGTCAACTATGAAAGTCTACATAAGGAGGGTACACAGCTGCACTATCAGGTCACATGCTATAGGCCTTGACAGTAAATGCTTCTGGTATGGAATATACATGTAAAGAAAACTACAGCTTTTTACTTAATTAAGTTTACATGGCTGGTAAATATTTTAATACAAAATATATGTCTCATTTATTCAAACGGTCTGTCTTACAAGAAGGAGATAATCTACGATTAAAGCGTTACTAAACCCAAGACCCTGCATTCACTATATCTGGTCTCCCCCGACCCTGCATTCACTATATCTGGTCTCCCCGGACCATGCATTCCTATATCGGTCTCCCCAGACCCTGCATTCACTATATCTGGTCTCCCCCGGACCCTGCATTCACTATATCTGTTCTCCCCGGACCCTGCATTCACTATCTGGTTCTCCCCGGACCCTGCATTCACTATATCTGGTCTGCATTCACTATATCCCGGACCCTGCATTCACTATATCTGGTCTCCCCGGACCCTGCATTCACTATATCTGGTTCTCCCCGGACCCTGCATTCACTATATCTGGTCTCCCCGGACCCTGCATTCACTATATCTGGTCTCCCCGGACCCTGCATTCACTATATCTGGTCTCCCCAGGACCCTGCATTCACTATATCTGGTCTCCCCAGACCCTGCATTCACTATATCTGGTCTCCCCGGACCCCGCATTCACTATATCTGGTCTCCCACAGTACACACACAACATGGAAGTGCAATTATCGTAGTAAATATAAACTGCTAAATACCTTTTCTCATGAGCAATTAGAGCAGTCTTGTGACTTCTATCAGTATCCAGCAGAGCACATGTTAAAGCTGGTAGGAGGAGTGTTCTAGGAGGATGCAGAACCCCTGACCTCTCTATGCTCTCAGTGCCGATTGGCCCTTTGCTGATCACATGCACTCTCCCAAGAGAAAAAAAAAACTGTCTAGCAATACACACCAAACTGAGCATGTGCAGAGTGACTCCACACAATATGTCTTATCAGGAGATAAGAGGGGGATGCTGGAAGAAGGGGAGGATCAGAGAAGTCAGGATCAAACAGCATTTTTACTCAATGCAGAACATTAACCCCCTAGGTTCCACAGTGAGCATAACAAGCATGACTTACTGCATATACAGACTGATTTTACTGTTGTGGGTTTAGTAACACTTTAAGCAGGTTCTTAGAAGAGTGACTGTCACTACTTTTGTCTCTGGTCAATTACTATGAGCATATGGAGGCACCAGAATGGAGCCAATGTAGCTTTGTGGACTGTTTACTGGCTGAATTCCTTGTATCCACAAAAGCTGCACCAACTACCACCATCAGCTACTGTCTATATTTTCAAGTCTCCAAAATAAGACACATTTACTGATGACACCAGATGCAGGGTGCATTCTAAATGCTGCACATACCAAGTCGGATAACTATAATGCCCCTATGTGTAAAGAAAATATTGGATCTATACATGACAACATTTATGATCTTAGACTGAGCTACAGTATATTCCATTGGATTTATAATCAGTAATGCACCTTATGACTGATTTCTGATTGATGGTAAAAAATACAATGATGATAGTACAGAGAAAAAATGGAAACTCAGACCACACCACAAGGTGACATTATTTGTTTCAAGTGCCATAGGTGAGCAAGTATATATGCTTTTGGCATTCATCAAGCAGCCTTTCTACATCACAATCCCTATGGGCTGTGTTTTCATGCAAGCTAATTTATTCTCCCTGGCGGTATTCCCGAGTGTAGCTCGGGGTAAAATTTCAGTACCAAAAGCGGTAACCCCGAGCTACACTCGGGCTTACCATGCGGCATTTCTCAGGGATTCCCTGAAGCGCTTACCTTAACCTTCGCCCCGCGATGCATCCCCTGCAGCATCTCCAGCCATCTCCTCCGGCCAATGCAGGCATCCGGCTTCCGTATTCCGGTCCCGGCGGCAAATTTAAAAATTTTAGAAACTGTAATTTTCTAATAAACGAATATGACATAGAAAAACATTACTGTTTGAAAGCATTTCACATACATTTTGTCCCTACTGCTTTGTCCGGTGCCCTGCCTGCATTTTTACTGTTCTTTCTGCCTGGAAACATAGAAAAGTCCATGGCGTCTAAAAAGTGTTCCTTTATGTCAAAAGCGGTTTTAGAGCAGCTGGAGAACAGCGATAGTAAATCAGAACCACTTGCAGAATTGAGTGATAATGATTTGTGGGGAAATTTGTCAGCAGACACTGAAAACGGTTCTGCGACTTTGCTCAGCGATGTGCGAACTTGGCGCTACATTTCAAATTTCAGTGTTTTTGGTTTGATTATATTATTGAATTAAATTTATTATTATTATTATATTATTATTATTTTTTTATTATTTATTAAATTATAATTTATGATTTTTGTGTTTCAAGTTTTATCCTACCCGGGATGTTTACTACACTTTTGTTCGGACAGATTTCAGTGAGTTATTCCTAAAAATTACAGGCATACAACGCCAAATTTCCATGCAAAATAATGGTACCGTTTTCAGCTCCAAAAATCTGAAATAATCATACCGCCAGGGAGGTTAAAGTAATGTCAATTTTATTTTTTTTCCAAAATAAAAAATTTTATTCCTCCCTGCTCTGATTGCACAGAGCACCCCAAACCTCCTCTTCTGGGATCCCCCACAAGTGCTCCTGGCTCCTCCTCCTCTTGATATGCCACAATAGGAAGCTGCTCCTTCTTCCTCACAAGATTTGACTGACAGGGGCTGGAACCAATGACAAAGCCTGTGAGAGAGCCGCTACAGATGGGCAGAACACTGGATCAAGTGAGGACTCGTGTAAGTATTGGGGAGGAAGCAATACAGGTATTGGAACATGGAATACATTATTCCTTTCCTGCCAGCGCCTCCCAGCCCTTTAAGATGTTCTAGACGCTGGGGAGACGGAGGTGGGCATATTGATCCTGTGACCCCCATGATTGGCTGTCACCATGGTTAGATGATCGGAAAGCTCCTGATCGCAAGTAGAGATTGGGAGCTTTTCATTACCCGCCGCTAACTGTGCTGGGAGCGTGCATGGCTCAAACCTCACTGTTTGCCAAAATCAGGGTATCTTTGGGCATTTAAGTTGTGAACAGTCACTGACATTTCTGTGCATCCGCTTACAAAAAAAAAAAAAAAAACTGTTAAAAAAAAAAAAAAAAAAATCAGTCTGTCATATGAAATTTGATCCTGAATAAACAACTTCGCTGAATCAATTAAAAAGTTAAATCCACAAAATTTGGTTTTCGATAATCTAAAATAGATTTTCACACATGCGTTCTTGTTATGAATTTTGTTAGTATTGTAATCCATGACAGCAAACTTAATTAACAACTGAAAATTAGATTTTTGTTTTCCAACCGAAAATTAATGAAGATTTAAGATGTATAACACTCCAGTTTTAAATAATGAGAACGCTGTATATAAATAGGTATTAACGTAATCTTAAACAAAAACTTCATTATACTAAACATGTATTTCAAGAAAAGTAATTTAAACAGTATATAAGCCACAAAACTGGTTTACTACTTTTGTTCTTTTTACATTTAATATACATTACCTACGGTCCAATCACACCACACCATGGCTACCCCTCTATGATATGACCCATGTGTACTGGCCATGGGGAAGTTCTCACTCCCTGCACCAGCAAGGTGGAGTGCTGGAAAGGTGTCAGAACTTGCATTCTAATATACAGTATGTCCCCCATAACATAAGATCGTACAGCACTAGTTTACATGTTTTCAGCAGCAACAAAAAGATAACTGATGTAAATGTACAATATATATGTAAAGCGCTGTGTAAAATGATGGTGTTATATAAGTACCTGTGATAATATTAAATATAATAATAATAATAATTTCCAGTATTAAAGCAGAATTCAATTCAATAATATAAAAGTTTTAGACAGAGTTGAAAAAGACATGATCTGCTGCCTGCCTAGCCATTACTGTCATCCATAACCAAGATGGGGCAATCTTTTCATCCTCTGGTTCTACCATAACAGTCAAACCTTTACCTTTCAACTGAACATTCTGGTTCCATCATAGAGGGCTAGTGACACCATTGCACTGATGTCACTGAACCCCGAAAATATGCCCCATGAAAGAGAAGCTAGGAAGCTCAGGATGTAGTGCCTCTTAGGTTGTCAATGCAGGAATGAGGTTAAGATAAACACCCCCCCCTGAGGTCACAGAACAGTAAAAATCTGGTGGAGGATTAAATCCTACCTTATGCCACTGAAAACTAAATTTGACATTGTATTAAAAAATGATTAGCATATTATTTAATATGTTTGTGTGCACATGCATACAGTAATACCTTTATGGTTTTCAGATAACATGGGCAAAGGAACCCTATATTTTATACAGGTATTATTTATTTATTACAGGTACTTATATAGCGCCATCAATTTATGTAGCACTTTACACATATATATTGTACATTCACATCAGTCCCTAACCCTCAAGGAGCGTACGATCTAAAGTCCCGAACTTACATTCATACATACACATACTAGAGCCAATTAACCTACCAGCATGTCTTTGGAGTGTGGGAGGAAACCGGAGTGCCCGGAGGAAACCCACGCAGGCACAGGGGAGAACATGCAAACACCAGGCAGGTGGTGCTATGGTTGGGATTTGAACCAATGAACCTAGTAGTGGCAGGCGGAAGTGCTAACCATTTAGCCACTGTGCTATCTTTCTTATTCCCTCCAATCACTGTGTAGCAGCTGACGGTGATTTATCAAACCATGAAAAGAGTGGAATAAGTACCCATCCATTGCCACTGACAGTTTCAAATTGAGGTGTGAGCTCAGTGACCATAGGGAGTTGAAGGAGGGGGTAGCCAGCCCTTGACTTCTATACTAGAGCACCTTCCAGTTTTGAGTTCCAGGTACAAACAAGTTGCTTTGTAAAGTTAGGTGCCAGAGCTGGTCTACTGTTGAGCTAGGTTTAAGTCATGGGTGGGCAACCTTGGCAGTTCAGCTGTTGTGCAACTACAAATCCAATCATGCCACTGCCTCTGGGAAACATGCCTGTGCCTGACTGCGGCTTTTGCAGTTTCATCACAGCTCGAGTGCCAAGGCTACCTACTACTGGTTTAGGTATTTTTAAATAGTAATGTACCTTAAAAATACCCGGTTTGAACAAATACACATCTACAGTTTCTAATGGTAGAACCATTAGATCTCTCTATGCAGCCTATCTTCCCTGTTTCTGAAAAGAAGAGTTTAAGTACCAACTGAATTTGTAAACCAGATACCCACAATTCATTATCTGTGTCTACTCAATTTTAAAGTAAACCTGTTGCAAACTTAGAAAATTAGTTAAAGTATAACTAAAGGCAAAACTTTTTTTATGTTTTGGATAGAGTGCAGAGGAACCAGAACACTTTTTACTGCTGTCTGTGTTCTCGTTAGGCAGATTCACCCGCTCTAGTTGTCCTGTTTACCATTATTAATTAAAGTGAAAGTCAAAGAAAATCCCAAATTTCGGGTTGTATGCAGAGAAGTAGTAGAGGGGAAATCTTTCAATGGAGACATTTTTATAGGGGTCCCCAAGAAATTCACTTAAAGTGTTATTAAACCTATGACCCTGCACTGCATTCACTCTATCTGGTCTCTCAAAGTACACACAACATGGAAATGCAATTCGTTTAGTAAACATAAACTGCTAAATACCTTTTCTCATAAGCAGT